GACGACAAGGACGACGACGACGACGCCAACGAAGGCGACGACGACGGGGACGACGACGACGACGACGGGAAACAGAGTCAACGGCGACAACAACGACGACGACGCCGACAACGGGCGACGACGACGACAGGCGACGACGACGACGACGACGAGCGACGGGCGACGGGCGACGACTACAAAGACGATGACGACGACGGGCGACGGCCGACAACGAAAACGACGACGTCGGTATTGGCGTCGACGGCGGCAACGACGACGACGACGACGACGGGCGACGACAACGGGCGACGACGACGTTCACGCCGACGACGACGACGCAGACGACGACGACGACGACAAAGACGACAAAGACGACAACGGCGACGATGAAGACGACGACAATGAGGACGACGGGCGACGACGACGTCTCCGACGGAAGATGACGACGACGGTTCAGACGGAGACTACGACGACGACGACGACTGCGACACAGACGACGACGACGACGCGGGGCCACCACGACGACGATTTCAACGGACGATGACCAAGACGGCGACGACGACAACGACGACAAGAACGACGACGACGACGACGACGACGACGACGACGGGTCACGACGACAACGGTGACGACGACTACGACGACAACGACGACGACGACGGGTCACGACGACGACGACGACGACGACGACGGCGCCAAAGACAACGACGACGACAATGAGAAAGACGAGGGACGCCGACGACGGCGACGATGACGACAATAGGCGACGACAGCGGCGGACGACGATGACGACGACGACAACGACGGGCGCTGACGGGCTTTGGCGACGACGCCGACTCCGACTCCGACGGCGACGACGACGACAACAACGGGCGACGATGACGAGCGACGACGACGAAGACGACGACGGCGACGAGCGCCGACGATGGCAATTTCGACGGCGACGACAGCGACGACGTCGACGACGGCGACGACGACGGGCGACGACGACGGGCGACAACGACGGGCGACGACGACGGGCGACAACGACGACGACAGCGACGACGACGACGACGACGACGGGCAATGACGACGACGACGACGATGACAAAGACGACGACAGCGACGGCGACGACGCCACCGACGACTACGACGACGACGACAACGGGCGACGACGACAACGAGCGACGGAAACTACGACGACGACGACGAGAAAGACGACGACGGGTGACGACACCGACAGCGATAATGACGACGACGACGACGGCGACGGGGGACGACGACGACAACGACGACGACGGGCGGCGACGACGACGACGACGACGACGACGACGACAACGATGACAACGACGACGACGACGGCGACACCGACGATGTCGACGACAACGACGGCGACGACAACAAAGACGACGACGACGCCGACGGGCGATGGCGGCAACGACGACGTCGACGTTGACGACGACACTGGCGACCACAAGAAAAACGACGACGGGCGGCGACAACCACGGCGACAAAGACGATGACGACGACGACGACGACGGGCGACGACGACGACGACGACGGCGACTAGCACGACAGCGACTACGACGACGACGGGCGATGGCAGCGACGACGACGACGACGACGACGACGACGACGGCGACGACGACGACAATGGCCACGACGACGACGACGACGACGACGACGACGGGCGACGACGACGACGACGACAACGCCGCCGATGTCGACGACGACGACGACGACGACGATGGCAACAACGTCGATGACGATGACAAAAGACGACAACGACGTGGCACGGGCGAAAACGACGGGCGACGACGACGTCGACGACGACGACGACAAAAACGACGACACCGACGACGACGACGACGACGGGCGACGGGCGACGACGACGACGGGCGACGGGCGACGCCGACAACGACGACGACGACGACGACGACAACGACGGCAACAAAGATGACGACGATGACGACGACGATGGAAACGATGACGACGACGACGACCACGACGACAACGACAACGGCGACGACGACGAAGACGACCACGACGACGACGACGACGACGGCGACGGCGACGACGACGACGACGACAAAAACGACGACAATGACAAAAACAAACACGATGACGGAGACGACGACAAAGAAGGGCAACAGGCGACGACGACGACAAACAAAAAAAAACGAGGATGACGACACCACAATCGCGACGATGACGACGGGCGACGGGCGACGACGACAACGACGTCGAAGGCGACGACGACGACGACGACGACGACGACGACGACGACGACGGGCGACGACGACGGACGACGACGCTGACGACGATGACGACGACGACGACGACGACAATGACAACGACGACGACGACGAAGACGACGACGACGACGACGACGACGACGACGACGACGACGACGACGACGACGGCTGCAGCCCTCGCACTCGGCTCGGAGCGCCCGCCGCGCTCTTGCCGCGGCCGCCCGCTCACCTCAGCGCGCGCCCCTGAACCTTCCGGGCGCCGACCCCCCTCGTCGCGGGCGCCCTGG